GGTGCGGGAGAAGATAAGCAAGTTGTTCTGTTATGCCCAACTTGTTTACATCGACTGCATTTGGTAGACTTGAATGGTACTGATTCAGTCGCAGGTATATGCCTCTTCTTTTGTCTTCTTCCTTGAAAAATCTCTACATCGGGAGGTTTTGTGATCTCAGATTGTATATTTTGTGGTATATCCCATGATTTTTGATTTTCCACGGTATTCACATATCCTTCATATGTTTTCAACCATGTTTCCTTTGAATACCAATTTGAGCATTAATCAGATTTCTGCAAGTATCTCTTATTAGTAGCAGCAACTGCATGTGGACAAGGCAGTTCATCAAATTGGAATTTCAGGCAGTCATAAGTTCTCTTCTTTAAGTCCACAATTCATTCACTATTTATTCTAAACAACATTGAGTCAAGGTTGAATACCTAACAAGGAATAAAAAAATAAGACAAACTATATTAGTGTATTGTTGCTTCAAAAAAAAGTATGATTTTTTTTAAATGTAAGCAGTAAATCACTGCAATAGATATAAAAAGCTGAAGTTAATAAATATACTCACAAACATTTTGCAAGCCAAGTCCATCTTCTTAGTCATCTCTTCTTCTGCCCATATTGATACTCTGTGAAAAGTTCATTTGCCTTTTTCTCCGTTCGTAAAACCACTCTCTCAACTTTTCTTGGATGAAATCTAACATTCTTAAAATAGGCAGTTCTCTCCTTTTTAGTAAAACGGAATTCATTGATTCTACCATGTTTGTTGTTAGCATATCATTACGTCGCTGTGGGAACCACGATCGAGCCCATCTCTCTGGAGGCTCTTCCATTATGTAATTGTATGTTTTCTTGTCAATACTTCTGAGTTGGGACATTAACTGATTAAAATCTTCACGTTTGTATGACATTGCTGCACTTTGAAAAAGATTTATTACCGTGGTTTTTGCATGTCTTTACTTTAAATTTTTCTCAAAGTGATAGAGGCAGATACCATGGTGAGCTTCAGGAAAAACTTTTCTAATCCCATTTGTGATCGATTGGTTTCTATCTGACAAGAAAACCAGCTCACGACGGACTTGAATTGCTTTTCTCATTTCCCCGAAGAAGCAAATGTATGCCTCATTGTTTTCTGAATCTGCTACACCAAAATATAGATGAAAGATTTGATTGTTTGCATCCTTTGATACAACAATAAATAGAACAGCACGATATTTTGACTTTAAAAACGTTGCATATACTGCAATAACGGGTCTACAATAGGACCAACCAGCTACTGATGCTGCGGGAGCAAAGAACATGTAAGCAAATATGTACAGTGAAACACAAAAAAATAAATCATAAAGTGTGAAGTTTTTCAAATAGGAACATTTTTGAAACTTCAGGCTGATGGTTAGTATTGTTTTGCTTACCTATTCTGCGCATCTCTTTTTATGCTTGTGTACGTACCTAGATTTTAATCCACCATCATGTGTAGGTATGAAGGAAGAATCTGGTAGTTCTCTTCAGGTGTTCCCCTTATGCAAGCAACAACTTTTTGAATAGCACGCCATGCCTTATGATAACCAATGTCAATTCTAAATTTCTTTTTCATTTCAGTTTTTACAAAGGCTGGGGTAACCTCTATCTTTTTGTCTCGAACATGTTATATAATTTGTTCACTTATAAAATTGATGTAGCATGCTTCTGATCTGATTTTCTTGCATCAACAGAGCATTCATGGATGTTATGATATTTTATCACCCTGAATAGTGTGGAATTTTTTATTCTGGTAGCACGTACATTCCAACCACATTTTTCCGCGATGCATTTCAGCTAGTATCTCTTTGAACATGATCTAATAGCAGTGAATTCAACTTTATGGTTTATCTCCAAGCTGCAGAAAAATTTAGTCATGTTTTGTTTGTTCTCAAAAATTGATCCAACTCTTACTTCCTCAGGCAACTCATCGTGCCTAAGTATTTTACATGGTGGAGATTCTTTCAGCTTTCTCCTCACTCTTTTTCTTGATTTCTGAGAAATACTAGAAGTTTAAGCAATTTCTTCAATTCTATCTAATGTTATCGGTATAAGCTCCATGCTTACTTCATCTTCGGTGTTGCTTATCATTGAAGAATGTAACAAAAAACTTTTTTGGATTGTGTGTTGGTTATCAATTTGCATTATTAGTTGTCCTTCTTCTTCTTAGTCATCAACAAACTGGTATGAATTTATTGGAGTAACGGGTAATTGTTGCAGCATTATATAGTCTGAAGCAGCTGTAATGTTAGAAGGTTATTGCTCGTTGTCTACTTCCATTAGTGGCTGTCCTACTTCATGCTGATAATCAACAAAAGGTTCTGAATCTATCGCATATGCAAGAGATTGTTTGAATACTGCAGATTCGGAAGGTTGTATTTTTTCGATGACGAAATTGCAATTCTTGTAGGCTGAATCAGTTGTAAGCAAATGTATACAAGTACTGAGTTCTTCATCTGAAGTTACAAGCATTCCTTTGCTTGTATTTAGTTTGATATCAATCCATACTTTTAGTGCATATTTGGTTGAATCAATATTTGCAACTTCACTAATTTTCTTCAGGAAAGTATTGAATGATATGTGCTTATTAAGTAGAACAAGTTTTGTATCATGATCCAAGTATTTGAAATCAGGAGTTCAACTCCCATTGAAAGTTATAACAATGCAAATCTAACTCATCCTGTAGATTCATGTTTAGTGGCAAGTATTAGGAAAGTGAATATAAGAATTTTTAGGTTGTTTGTGCTGAAGTTTTTACAAATGAACTAAATCACTTAAGCATCTTCTGCTGATTTTTTTTTGGAAAAAGATGTATGACATAATTAATGAATCCTGCACAAAAAACTTCAGCTTATTAAGTGCTGAAGTTTTTAGAAATAAGCTTAATAACTTCAGCATATCAGCTGAAGTTTTTTTGAAAAAGTTGTATGACAGGGATTCATGAATGCAGGGAAAACAACTTCAGCTCATTAAGTACTAAAGATTTTAGAAATGAACTAAATAACTTCAGCACATTGGGATGAAGTTTTAGCAAATGAATTCAACAAATTTGAGCATGTTTCAGCATTAATTGCATAGTATACAGGAATAACCTACACAATTAAAGTAGTAATTATATTGCGTTGGGGGTATGTGTTAGTGTAATAATTACATTCCTATCACATTCATGCACGCTTTTCATTAGACAACGTTAAATTCCTCTTTGCCTTTTCATATACCATGCAGAAGTTTTTTCCCCTGTATAAGCACGATATACCTTGTGAGTTTATTCACTCAAACACATATATTTTAGCAGACATAAAATACAAAAAAGAGAAAAATAGATGTCGTCATCAGGCAAATAGTGAAAGAAATCAAGCAAGACATTATAGAGACTTTTGAGCTGAAACTGGATGAGCTCATAGACAAGTATGACAGAGAGCTAGAAGAAATTAACAATAAGCTTGATACGCTTGTGATGTATGCAAGATTTGATAATCTTACTGATAAAGATGCTCGTCCATCTGGCAGTGACGACGATGATGATGATGATAATATGGATGATTAGTTTTTCTGTTTGTTATTTATGTTATTTATGTAATTTAATTTGTCCTTTTTAATGTTTAATGAAATATTCAGTTTTTGTTTTAAGTTTTTTGTGCATTTTTTTAATATTAATTCTATTCAAACTCGAAAAAACAGAGGAAATGAACTAAATAACTTCAGTAGGAATTAACAAAAACTAATTCAAAAATACACAGTGCTTGATGAAAACTTCAAGCATGAACTAAAAATTCTTTTTAAACTTAGAAAATAACAGAGCAATTAACAAAAACTTTTCCGGAAATTACATATTGCACGACAAAATATTAAGCATTTTTAGAAGATGAACTAAAACAAATTCAGCATACAAAAAATTATATGAAAAATATTTTACATATTCTTGAAAACATAAGCATTTTTGGTATGAAGTTTTTCCAAAAAATGATAATAAAATACATAGTGCAGGGGAAAACCGCTCCATTTGCTGAAGTTTTTACATATTAACTAAAAAACTTCAGCACTTATGCAATATAAAATTTTAATTTATGTTTTATTTTTTACCCAATGTAGGAGGAAAACTTCGGCACCTATGCTGAAGTTTTTTGTACAATATATAATTTTAATTTATGTTTTATTTTTTTTACCCAGTGTAATAGGAAAACTTCAGTTCCTCCTGTTGAAATTTTTAAATATTAACTAAAAAACTTCAGCTCATATTGCTGAAGTTTTTAAAGATTACGTAAAAAACTTCAGCAACTAATGCCTAAGTTTTTGTGCAATATGAAATTTTGTGCAATATGGAAACTTCAGCTCGTTTTGTTAAATTTTTAAATATGAACTAAATAACTTCAGCTTGTTTAGCAAATAAACAATGATAACACTCATATAATGTTTTAATATAATTTTTTCTTCGTTGTGTTATTTGCCAACTCGTTTTGGTGAATTTTTTAGATATGAACTAAATAACTTCAGCTTGTTTAGCAAATAAACCAAAAATTTCAGCATATTTGTCGGATTAGAATATTAGAATTCAACGTCAAAAGATTTAGAATGCAAATTCAGCATATCAGTGAAGTTCGTCAAATAACTTCAATCAATCAATCAGAAAACATATAATTCAAAAACTATTTTGAACTCTGAAGATTAATTTGAATACTTACAATGTATTTTGTAATTTTGAGTTTGGAATTTGAATCTGGTTCAAATCTGCTTTGCGAGAGGCGATCTCAGGAGAGACGGAGCGATGGAGGAGATACTGAGGAGATCTAGAATTTGAATCTGGCTATGCTTGGTCCATCTTTTATATGTTTTGGAAGGGGTATAATGGTCATACTATTACATATTTTTTGTTAGTTGGTTAAAAAATCAATAATTTTAAAAAATAGGCTATAGATTAAAAGGTAGCATAAATATAGGATACAAATGCAAATTTTATAACAGTACTCGTATAAATTTTATACGAGGTAATTTAGAAAAAATTAAAAATAATAAAACCACCAATACGCCATTGTTAAGCAAAGAGGAGAAAACAGAGATCGATTGATCCATCGGAGAAAAACGAAAGGGAAAAAAATGGGGGAAGATTTGGTGTTGGACACAGCAATAAGAGACTGGGTATTAATACCATTATCAGTAGTAATGGTACTCATTGGAATTCTTCGTTACTTCGTCTCTAAGCTTATGCGTTCTTCTTCTCAATTATCAGATCCTAAAATCATCAAAGAAGGGTTCTCTTACTATCTCCTTTTACTTTTTCCAATTAATTTGGTACTGAGGCGTAGTTGATTGAATGATTGATTGATTATTTTGTTTTTAATTATCAGGCAGGTGGTAATTAGGGCGAGGAATTTGAGAGCTGGAGCAAATTTTATTCCGGCCAAGTCTTTTCGTGCAAGGAAATTTTACTATAGTAACGAGGTTTGATACTTGTTAGTTTTTGTTTTGTTTATTATTGTTATTATTTGAGGTTGACTATAGCATATGTTGACTTTAGAGGTTAAAAGTGACCACTTTTGCATTCTTCATTCGAGTTTTTCAAATTTTTGGGACAAAATGTAGTAGATGATTACTAATCTATGATAAGAATGCTACTCAAGTAGTTAAGCTTTGCTTGTGAAAGACTGATATATTATGCCTAATTTGTTGGTCAAGTGTCTTAATTTTGACGTTCAAAGTGAACATAGACAGTTAATTTGGGGTAGGGAGTATGGTTTATAATAAATTAGTATGGATAGTTGGATTTTCTTATCAAGATTGACGAAGAACTTTAATAAAATGTACGATACTGAATTGTGGAGATGTATGCTGAATGTTACTGGATAAAAATGAAAATCTTTGAAGTTTATCATGAAGAAGAAGACTTGAAAACTAAGTGAAGTAGGATTGGGAGGACAAACAGTAATTTGACACTCAAGGATATTGCCTAGTATTTTCTTGTTTCTATTGTGATTTGAACCCTGATTGCTGGTCTCCCATGGCTTTCATCCACTTTATATTGATGGGAGGTGGTTGGTACAGGTGGAATAGTCGAGATGAGCACAAGTGGCCCAGACACCATTTTTATAAAAGAGACAAATCTGAAAAGAAGAGACAGGGATGTGGTTTTTTTTGTTACCTTGTTCAAAAATAGAGAGACAGGGATGTGGGTTTTATGATGGAGCTGAAACGAAAGTGAAAGAAACACGACTTCCTGCTTGGAGGGGAGTTGATGCCAGTGAGAGGTGGTCCAATTGGGGCACAGTGGTTGTTACTAGAGAAAACCCACTGCCTTTTGGGTTAAGGGGCGATAGCAATGAGTATGAAAATATTGCTTTCAAGGGGATTTGAGGGCTCGGTCAAATACTGGGAACAGGAGATTCTATTCTTTCATTAGTTTCCTTCACTTGATTTTATATATATTCTTTTAATGGTTTGTTGTGTGACTAAATTTTTTTTTGCTAAAGAATATGTTTGTAAATGAAGTGATTTCCTTTACTGCAATCCGATCTTGTGGAACATGATGTGACTATGTAGCAGTACACTACAAAAAAAAAATCAAATGAAATGGTTGGTACTCCCTGATAGCAAAGGAGCCTATTAGATGAAAAACTTAATAGTTTAATATTATCTTTTCATGAAAAGCCTTGTGCTGCTTAGGAACAAGAAAATAACTTGTATATACTTGAAAATGCAGGAAAATGGACTACTATATGTTCCAAAAGGACAAGCTCAGAATCCACAGGCGCAAATGTTTTCTGACCCAAACATGGCTATGGATATGATGAAGAAGAATTTATCAATGATCATACCTCAGGTATCATGCTTCCCGATGATCATTTGCTTAATGATATTGCTCAATATAGGACCTGACATTTTGAATGTACTTCCTCTTGCCAGACTCTTACCTTTGCATGGGTCAACTTTTTCTTCTCGGGGTTTGTAGCAGGTGAATTCCTTAATTTTCCTGAATGCTCAAATCTTCAGTGGCAGAGTGCATTATTGCTTGTTATAGTACTCCAAATTCACTACTTTGCATTTTGAAATATTTGAAGCTTTATATTCTTTAACTTGCATAAATGTCTGGTATCATTTCAGCAAAAATACCTTTTCCATTAACTCAGAGATTCAGGTCAATGTTGCAAAATGGCATTGACTTAAGCACTGTTGATGTCAGCTATGTCAGCAGTCGCTCATGGTAAACATAAGCACTCTTGTGACTTTGTTTCCATAAGTTCAGTACTCTGCTTTAGAGCTACTTTTTGTAGTGTTCTGCTGCATTTTATCTAATACTTGATATCATATCAATCAGGTATTTTCTAAATCTGTTCGGATTAAGGGGTTTGTTCAGCCTCATTCTTGGAGAAGAAAATGGTCAGTAGTTTTTTGAGAGTTACATAATTCTAATTGTCACTTTGTTCATGTACATAAGAGCTGTATATCAGTACTTCTGGTTTTATAGACTGTCTAGTCTTTTGTTTGGGTTTTTTATGATGTCGTTGGAAATTGAAATATCATTATTTGCTGCAGCAACTGATGACACTCAACGTATGATGCAAATGAGCGGATTTGGTTTTGACCCTAGCAAGGTAAAATTGTCAGTGTCTGCTTGCTTATTTTGATTCTGCCAACGTTGAGGTGCAGTTCATGATTGATTACTTGTGCTAAACAAGACAGAAGTAACAGTCTCTCTTCTTTCTGTATTAGTCCTTCCTATTGCTTCCCATCCTCCCCTACCTTTTCCTATTATGTACCCTAGAAACTGAATTTCCTTTCTATCAACGGAAAGGTCGAGTGCTGTTTGGATGGAACAAGAGGAAAAGAAGAGGAAAGGAAAGGGTAGGTGGGTGGAGAAAAGGGAAGAAAGGAGGCACTTTTTTTTCCTCGTTCTTTTTATCTCTTAGGAAAAAATCATTTTGCCAGCTGGAGCCTAGTGCCTTTCGCTTCAGCCTACTTCAAGGGGCCGATGCTCTACCTAGCTTTGTATGTTTAGTTCCTATCGATTAGCGCCTTTACGAATGGATGCTGCTCTTGGAAAGTGACAGATAGTTTAGAAGGGGTATAGACGAAGCAAGAGGCTATTGCTTCCATTTGAATCTGTATTGAGGTACACATATAGGGAATTATGGCGAAAGTAGAAGAGTCAAGAGTGTTTATATAAGGTGGGAATGTATCTTTACCTTACGAAAAAAAAAGGTCTTGAGTGTCACCTGAATCTCCTACGATTTCTAACATGTATCAGTGTTGAAATTTTGCTGTCCAAAGCGAATAATCATGCACAATGAAGTCTACACCTGTTTTTTCCCTAAGAAGGTCATTAGTACTTGCATTCAGTTGGTCAATTGGTCATGTAAATGCTGTTGTCAGGTGTCTAAATTGAATGCTGTTTTTTCTCTTTGCTTATCTAGGTTAATTTTAGAAGCCATAGTATGGCCATATATTCTGAAATAACTGTAAAGCTGATAGGTGAGCCTAATCGTTTGGCTGTAGGAAGGGTTGGGGATACAAGAATATTTCAGTCAAGGATCCAAGTGAGCTAAATGAATGTTTTCTGAATGTGAATAACTCTGTGATTGAATACACATGCATATGTAGTCCATTCTCTTTTTTTCTTTAGCTTCTTGGACTCTTGCTCACTCCCCCTTCTTTTTAAGAAAGTTCATATTAATTTCTTGATCCTTAAATTCCAAACTCAATGGTCACTACTTTAAGCAACCTGTAGAAAGAGGGACAGGGTAAGAACAAGACTGAAATGAATAGACATTTGCTCCACTCAGTGGAGGGAAGAGATTAAACTGCATGCTGCTTGTGCTGGAGTTGCTATTTTAAAGGAACTTGATATACATTTGACCTCTCGAGGTTCCTGATATTCCTGAACTTAATTCTACTGTGAGTGACCATTCAGAGTAATGTCAGTAGATTATATTTACATCCCTCTCTATACACACAAGCCAGTGAGTCGATGGAACTTTCTACAAAGTTTAAGCTTTCTATTGGAGAACAAATTAGTCGTCTTTATTACAGATTACATCTTCTCCTATATTTTCTTGCTTTTCGTAACTAAAGTATCTTTCTTGTTATACAGAGTTTGGGAGCAGAAAAGGATGCCTTAGATATTATTCAGCATGAATGGACACTTCCTAAATTTGAACAGCGAGCTGGAGCAGTCTTGCGGAAACTAGTCTACTGAGGATATAGTTTTAAATTTGTGTCTCAGCAGCGAACCGAGGAAACATTCTTTTAATCTGGTGAAAACTTCAATCTTGAAGCAAGGTCAGGTGAACAAAATGTTTGAGTAAGAAGAACTAGCTTAACTCCTTCACACGCGAAGTAATCGAGTCTAGAGGAAACTAGTTAACTAAGATTGTAATTTTAAATTTGTCTTCAATTTCAGCTGTGCAGCATTTTGCTTGCTGCTCCAAGGTGGCCTACAGCCTGTGAAATTGGTTGATGCCGCCATAGTAACTTTGATACTTATTTAGTTGTATTTGGACGAAATTGTAGTTATTGCCCCTTCCATGCAGCAGTTTTAAAATTTCCAACTTTCCCACCAGATGCTAATGACAAAAAACTGCAATTGCCTCTCCATTTCAACAGTTTCCATGACAATCCGTGTACTAAACACGGGTTTATATTTTAGGATAAGTGGTTTATATTTCTGTCTATACAAAGGGCAGCCCGCTGCACAAAGCATCCAGCGTTCACATAGGGTCCGAAGAAGGGCTGTACCCCAAGGGGGTGTGATGTAGGCCGTCTACTTTGTTTGCTCTCTTTTTGTACTAAAGTAGACTTTTGTTACCCGGAGTTTGCCGTTTGGGCGCAGAAAGAAGTGGTTTAGGTATTAGTAAAAACATATTAAATGTTTTTTTTTTTTNATTTGATCCAAAACAGTAGGTTTGGTTGAACTCGTTAATTATGAAAGATTAGCCCAAAATTCATCTACCAAACTTTCAATATACTTTTGTTTCTTTTCAAACCAATGTAAAGTACTGAATGCAACTTTCATGTGATCGTTTAGACATTTTCCAAACATCTCCACATAATATTTTGTACCATTCAATAATCGAAAGGTGTGATGGTTAAAGCATTCGATGTAATGACTGACATTTCCTTGGAAATACGTTGTTGGATTTATACGAATGTTATTTAGTACTAGTCCATTTGGTACAATTATGGCTCAGTTGAGAGATCTTGGTTAAAGATATTTCACATGTACACAGCAAAACATGATAACATGGCCAAGCTTTTCTGAAACAACCAATTCTTTGATAGTTAGTAGATTGTAAGAGCAATATGTTGGAATTTGGAGTTTACACACAATGATAATGGTTGGTACCTACGTACAACAACAACAACAACATACCCAGTAAAATCCCACCAGTGGTTGGTACCTACGTGTGAGTAAAATATAACGCCAGATTGTGTATGTGGATAAGTGAAGCCAATTGATTGTTCCGTCACAACCTAAGTCCATGGCATGTATTGTCAGCTTTGGCCTAATAGACTTCACAGGTTTGTTTCTTCGACTATGTCATTATTGAGTCCAAAAGCACGAGTACCATGTGAACTTGTATTCTCTCCCATTTTAATGTGAGATTCACTTAAGGTTTCATGTGCATCCCGGCATCCTTTTTTTATAAACTGGCCAGCGTAGAAGACTAATAATCCTTCTCTTTGACCGGCCCTCGTCGATCCACCCTCCGTCATGTGCAATAGAATCTCGGACTTAAAACAACAATTGCTGCTGATGAACCATGGAGTTAACGTATGTACTCTAACAAGGTGCATTTCGAAAATTGACTCGTGGATTGTGGCAATGGGTTACGTGGGACTTAGTTTTAGAGGGAGACCCGTGAATCGTGGTAGTAAGCCACGTGGAACTTAGTTCGAAAGGTAGATTGTTGGATATGCGAACAAAGTATCACATTAATAGCTGACAAGATTGAGAGTCTACATATAAAGTTTAAAAATCTCTTAATGGTATGAGCCATTTTGAGGAAAATCATATGTACTTGGCCCAACACGAATAATATCACATCATGTTAGGAGTAGTAGTTAATGCATGAGCACTTAAATGTTTTTGGGTGGTACGTTATAGAGTTTAATGCATTAGTTAAACTGCAACGTCATGGTCCCTGGGAATATGACTGGTGAAGATAAAATTATATCCAACTAAAGTTCCCAATAGGACCCCTCCGTCTGCTTTTATAAGACTAGCTAGTGCGTGAACCTTAAATTAAATGCCACCCGGACCTATGCTATACCGAGAGGTAGGGGTATACATGAACCCGATTGGCTCGGTTTTTATCAAAACTATATCAGACTAACTATATCGGTTTATGTTGGTTCGGTTTTGTCTGATTTTTTGGGTTTTTTGGGGTTTTTGTTACTTAAATATTATTTCAATTTTACTTTGTTAAATTTTTGATAAGTAAATATATGTTTTGTAAAAATATAAAAAATTGACAAACATATTATCTATTAAAATATTCTTATGAGAGAAATATTTTTTTAGTCGTCTGACAATAATATTTCGTTGATGTACACTTTCAAGGTTAACCGAATTTAGTAATTAAACATAAAAATCAATATAACACCTAAATAATAATAATAATCACTTCACAATAGAAAAAGACATAACAATTTAGTAGATCTTAACATATGATATGAATATGGAAGAACAGAGAGATTAACGCATTTCAGTAACACTTGATGAGAAAGTGATCATAGAACCCCTTATTTAAGGTTAATAAATACGGAGCACTTCATATACTATTAAATATTATATCCCGCAAGATAATCCCAAATATTTTTAAATCTTTTTTTAAAGAAAATTCTATATAAAATCTTAAAAGTATATATAAAAATTGTATATTTATATGTTGGTTTGGTTCAAGTTTTTTTACTCAATACCAAACTAAATCAAACCAAACCTAGTCAGATTTTTTAATCGGTTTGGTTTGACTTTTCGGTTTGGTGCGGTTTTCCGGTTCGATTTGTACACTCTTATCGAGAGGGGTCACAGGTATTCGTAAAGTTCGGTATAAGTTTTATGTATACATATATACGTCTTTAGAAAATAATTATATATGATAGACACTCTATATACAAAGCATATTTTAGTTGAATTCAAAAGTACATTCCCGACCTTTAAACCCTGGGTCCGCCCGACTTACATGTGTTGTTACAACTCAAAATACACAAGGGGGAGGGGTCCAACAGAGATTATATCTTTATGTTTGGGTGTTTTTTCGTCGTGCAACTCGACAGTTTACGTGTTACTTGTGGCCCATGTCTCCTATTTGTTCAAGGTAGTTGGCGTGAATTCTGATTCAATAGTTATACCCTTTAAGCTGATATATCTTATTATTAATTAAAATATTATTGTGGTCTATAAGAGTTATTTTAGAACAACTCATTACAATTCTATAGTCATTGCACTAACAGCTTGTTTAGATGGCTGTCTATATTATATTTTTGGGATGCGGTCTTTTTTCGGATCCTGCGTAAACGTAAAATACTTTATGTATCGGAGGCTTTCCAATATTAAATGATCTATAATTACAAAAGTTTTGGATCAAACTAGTATATATCAATAAAAGTACTCATGCATTACAATTTCCTGCCTTAAACATACATATCAACATTTTCAACTCATAAAGTATAGTTTTCGCGCCTAGCATTGTTATGATCTTGCCCTGAATTTTTAATTTATAAAGATTCTTTTTCTTGAAGGAAGGGAAAAAGATTCCTAAAAGAATTAAATTCTTTCATATGCCTTATTCTTTTCTTCGAGGAAAATTTTTGTAATTCTATAAATTGACGTTTTCTTCTCACAACAAGAGAAACAATAATATTCACAACATAGTTATTAAAGAGTCTCGTTTAGAGAAGATTTTTCTCTCAATAGTTTTTTTTATATTTTTATACTGGGTTTTTATATGTAGGTCAATTGACCAAATCATATTAAAGTTTTACGCCTTTTTAGTATAAATCTCTTTGTTGTCGTCTGATTTATCATTCACTAAACTTTACTTTGTTAGCTTCCGCATGCACCATGTTATTTCGATCCCATCAAACATGACACTATTTTTATTATAGTGGAGAAATTTCAAAGGCCAATGGCGCAAAGTTGATTATATCTTGCTTTTGTCTACGACAACTTAGCATTGGAAATTTTCTGTCTTTGTAATAGGTACAGGTACCTTAACCAAACATTACAGGAAGTATAAATTGAAATAAATATTAACATTTCACAATCTTATTAGAATGATAAAAAAATTGCTAAATATCACTATTTATGTCGGTAAAAAAAGGAAAAATATCACTATTTAAAACATCTGAACCCATATTAAATGTACATCAATTTTCAATATAAAATTACGTGTATTAGTTAAATAAGAAAGCTAATATGTTATCTATCATGAAAGCAACTCCATAAAAGAAGGTGGCCTCTATTATTATTATTATTATTATTATTATTATTATTATTATTATTATTATTATTATTATTATTATTATTATTATTATGTATTTTTAGAGAGGTAATGATCAAAATGTATTAATTTCTAAAATCCCACATAATCCATTTATTTTATTTTATTTTCGTTTCTACTCCTCTAAATCTGTCAAACCATCACTTTGGCCCTCTCGAAAAACCTAATCATATTGCTCAACAAGGGCAAGGAAGAAGATTCATCTATTGTATTTAAAAATAAAAAAAAGGAAAAGCCTATTACAATAAATAAAAAGAAAAAAGAAAAATTCTCCAAAGTTATAAGGCGGACCTATGAGGAGTCATCAGCAACCGTACGACAAAAATTCCATGTATACATATATATATTTTTAGAAAATACCCTATAAACAAAACAGATTTTGGTTGAATTTAAAAGTCCACCGACGACCTTTAAATTCTGAGTCCGCTTGTTGGGAGACAGTCAAGTCAATGAATTGTTGAAATAATTGCAAATCTAACTGACCAACTTTTAAGGCAAGAAACCTAGGATTTATTGTCCTTCCTTTTTACGACGTTTTGATTGCCAAATAGTTTGGTCTGTGTGTTCTGATTTCTCAAAATTATCAAATAAACTTTGAAAAAGTTTTAGTTTTACGTATCGATAGTATAAATGTTTTCTTCAAATTATAACAATCTTGGAGTTACTTCCACATATTAATAAACTTATATTACTTAGAACAATTCATAAGTTACAGGCGAAGCTACTTGATTTATATTTGAAAGGAGTTTTAGAGTATTGGTAAAATCGTCTTCGTATGCAGGGGGCGGAGGAAGAGGCGGACCTATGGCTTAATTAGGTCACTACTGAAAAATTGGCCTACGATAACGCATTCCCAGACTGTATAACCGTTGCCATAGAGCTATTGGAACGGTTTACGGACTGTTCCATCAGCCCCGTGCCAATAGGTCTATGGGAACGGTTCTTGCAACGGTTTCGGCAGAAATCTTGTATATTTATGTGTATACCTTAAAAATGGTTATTTTAAATCAGTTGGCACCCTTAATGCTAAAAGTCTTTAGGTGATATTGATTGAACAAATTATTGTGCCTTCATCGCATTAAATTCCTAGGT